TTGACCAAGTGTCGTAGGGTTCAGGCAATAGGGTTTTTGGTTTATGAGTCTGTGACGATCCGATTAAAAATTGCCTCAGGCAAAGTAGACCAAAGTGCAATTGACCAAGTGTCGTAGGGTTCAGGCAATAGGGTTCCCCCAGGCAATCAAATTTCACCAGGCATTTTTGGTTTATGAGTCTGTGACGATCCGATTAAAAATTGCCTCAGGCAAAGTAGACCAAAGTGCAATTGACCAAGTGTCGTAGGGTTCAGGCAATAGGGTTCCCCCAGGCAATCAAATTTCACCAGGCATTTTTGGTTTATGAGTCTGTGACGATCCGATTAAAAATTGCCTCAGGCAAAGTAGAGGGTTCCCCCAGGCAATCAAATTTCACCAGGCATTTTTGGTTTATGAGTCTGTGACGATCCGATTAAAAATTGCCTCAGGCAAAGTAGACCAAAGTGCAATTGACCAAGTGTCGTAGGGTTCAGGCAATAGGGTTTTTGGTTTATGAGTCTGTGACGATCCGATTAAAAATTGCCTCAGGCAAAGTAGACCAAAGTGCAATTGACCAAGTGTCGTAGGGTTCAGGCAATAGGGTTCCCCCAGGCAATCAAATTTCACCAGGCATTTTTGGTTTATGAGTCTGTGACGATCCGATTAAAAATCCCCCCCCCCCAGTCAATCAAATTTACCCAAGGCAATCAAATAATCGACTCAAGTAAAATATATACTCAAGTAAAGGTATGTATATATAAACTACAATTTATAAAAAAGTTAAATAATTGTTTTCTATAGACTCAAGTGTGTTTTCTTAGACTCAAGTTTTTGCCAAAGCATTAAAAAAAGATTACGACACCCCCGATTCCCAGGACGTCTCCGTTCCAAGTACTAAGGAAGCCCAGCGTTGCTTAACTTGCCAGATCGGACGGGATGGCGTGCTTTCAACGCGGTATGGTCGTAATCACTGTGTTTTCAATTTCTCAATATTTAAGAAAAAATTCTCTAAGGCAAAGTGGGCGGGGCTATTTGTTGTTCGCTGTTCGCGGGAATGGTTTAAGGCAAAAAGAAAATGGGCAATTATAAAAATGTGTGGGAGGAAAATTAGGATTAAAAAAATTTTTTTGAAGAATTAAATTTTTTAAAAAAAATAAAGCTTATAATAATAAACTTTAATCTTTTTTTAAATTTAAAGTTTATTATTATAAGCTTTATTTTTTTAAAAAATTTACTGTTATTATTATATTAAGCTTTATTATCAGTTTATTTTAAAGCAGCTTTATTCTAAATCTGATAATAATCATAAGCTTTATAATCCTAATTTTTCTCCAGCTGCAATATTTATTTGGCTCCAGACAATTGTCAGGAATTGCCATTGATAACTTTTGTGAAAGTGCCGCTGATAAATTGTAAATAATTTAGATATCTTTTGCAAAGGAAATTAAATATATAATAAGCTGTCATTAATTTTTAATTTCAGATTATTTTCGAGATTTTATTCCAAAATTATCAATATAATCAATATTAATGACAGCTTAATTACCCGCAGACTGGGTAATTCCAGCTCTGCTAACTACCTAAATAAAAGATATCTGGTTGATCCTGCCTGAACTGATGTGTTCATTTCAAAGATTAAGCCATGCATGTATAAGTTTAATCGTTTTAACGAGAAACCGCGAAAGGCTCATTACAATGGCCATGATTTACTTGATCTTGATTATCTAAATGGATAACTGTGGAAAAGCTAGAGCTAATACATGCACCAAAGCTTTGTCCTCACGGAAAAGCGCATTTATTAGAACAAAACCACGCGGCTTCGGCTGCTTCTTGTTGACTCAGAATAACTAAGCTGACCGCATGGCCTTGTGCCGGCGGCGTGTCTTTCAAGCGTCCACATTATCAACTTGACGGGAGCATAATCGACTCCCGTGGTGGTGACGGATAACGGAGGATCAGGGTTCGACTCCGGAGAAGGGGCCTGAGAAATGGCCACTACGTCTAAGGATGGCAGCAGGCGCGCAAATTACCCACTCTCGGCTCGAGGAGGTAGTGACGAAAAATAACGAGACTGTTCTCTTTGAGGCCGGTCATCGGAATGGGTACAATTTAAACCCTTTAACGAGTATCAAGCAGAGGGCAAGTCTGGTGCCAGCAGCCGCGGTAATTCCAGCTCTGCTAATACATAGAATTATTGCTGCGGTTAAAAAGCTCGTAGTTGGATTCGTATCGGTACCTTGGAACCCTTCGGGTGTTTCTGGGTGTTATCGATTTATCGTAATGTTCGGTTTTGAGTCCTTAACAGGATTCTTAACAGTCATTGCAAGTTTACTTTGAACAAATCAGAGTGCTTCAAACAGGCGTTTTCGCTTGAATGATCGTGCATGGAATAATAGAAAACGATTTCGGTTCAGTTTTATTGGTTTTACGGACTGAGATAATGGTTAACAGAGACAAACGGGGGCATTTGTATGGCCCCGTGAGAGGTGAAATTCTTGGACCGTGGCCAGACAAACTACAG